GTCCACGCACCGTAACCACGATTTGTATTCAGTCTGCCATTGGCTGGAATCAGTCTATAGTCAAAATGCGATGAAGCTGTAGTCGCACTGTCCAATATTTTCCCACTCTCCATGCCTAATGGAGCGCATGGCTCTGCATGGAACAGAAAACAATGTAAGATCTAAATACAGCGTTGGGTCGGATTTTTATTTTAATTGTATCTTGTTACGACACAGCATTTCAACTCGGGCAGCATAGGTTTGTTCCGTCATAGTCTGTTAAAATATATATGATGTGCACGGTGACGGTGATTGAGCTTATAGTATTTTCGTATGATTAAGAAACCGTCCAATAGGGATAGCTGAGATGAAACGTGTAACCACGATAAATAATATATAAGGAAGTTGAGACAAAGGATTTGTGCACGGTGAGGTACAGTTCAACAGTCCGGGCTTCTAGACCATCATATCTAGGCAGACAATAGTTCCACGTGCAATGCAGTAAATCAATACTAGTGCGGTGAGGTCTAAGCTATGTCGTGTTTAATAAACCACGACTTTGCATGTCCTATATTTGGGTTTGGCTGAATAATCCACAGTCAGCCAACCAGTGGAGCAGAAACGAGGCCAAGACCAGGTCTGGAGTTCTATAGGGTGTCCCAAAAAACGAAAACTATTGAAATAAATGTATTGTTACAATTTGAATGCCTCAGCACGCTGAACCCACACGTGCATCAAAGCTTGACGTAAGTAAATTTTATGCATAAAGAAACTGTTTAAGTAGCTGTTTTAAATTCCCAAAAGCAGAAAATCGTGCGCTTTACAAAGATATTTTAATTTCTTAATAAGTCAATATTTAATATATACACCCTGTCAATATTTTACGCATCTTTGCGTTCAGCTTAGTGCTGCCAGCTGGGGCATTCAAATTTTAACAATACGTTATTTCAATGGTTTTGCGGGGTTTTTTTGGGACACCTGTCTAGTAAGGCTTGGAAAAAGGTTTTAGGTTTAACTGGATGGTTGAAAGATCTAGAAGCGTGGATTTTCATTGAGGTGCGTATAAGTGACCAATTGACGATGTTTACCATAAGTGCACAAACGACTATACCAAAATTGTAAAAATACTCTATGCCCTTACGTATACACACGCTGCGATTTGTCATGTGTGATTCGTACTCATGTAATCGAATAAGCACGTGTAAAAATTATTCCATTTCAAATTTCGCCATAAACTATAAATGTAGCGGGGTTGTGGCGTCAGCAGTAATTTTGGTACAGCGGGGAGAATAAGAGTTGTATACGATAAATCGCAGCGCGTAAACGTATACCTTAACGACGATTTTTCACCTTTGTAACATTTGAAATGTGTTAAAAACCATTAATGTATTACAACCAATAAGCCTCACATTATAATCACTGATTATGCACTCCACATTTTAATTTGTGTCTCTGACAGATATCAGGCTACTTTTTGGTTGATTTAGTGACAGATTGAGGTGCTTGCCTGATAATTTTGCATTATACTAAATTGCGCTTACAAGAGTAGCTCATTACAAACATCAAGATTGCAAGACAATGGGCGGCGTAATTTTGTCCAAAAGGCCTGCGACATGGGGGCTAATTTTATATGGAAGCCGGGCTGGCCCAGTTAGCTAGACTGCCCGGTAAGCGGATTCAGTATCTCTCTCATTTCACCCCGCTTGACGGGACAACTTTGTTATTTTGCATGACATTATTCTGACAGTTGTTAAAAATATCTCGCAGCGGCATCTTCAAACTTTTGTCCCGGCAATCGGGCTAGCCCGCTTCGCGTTCTTATATGGAGAAATTTTCATCCTGGCAAGCGAGACAAACGGCCTCGACAACCGGGCCGTTTGTCCATATACAGACACAAGCTAATTTGCACTATAATAATAACAACACAGCGAGATTTCGCTAAACCGGGCTGTCTCGCTAAGCGGGCCAGCCCGGCTTCCACATAAGCAGCCTCTTAAATTGAAATTGTACTCGTTTCTTACCCATTAAGCCTGTTTTCCACTAGGCGGAATTTTGAGCGCGGAGCGGAATTTTTCTTTGTCTTGTGATTTCTCGGGTGGAACTAATTAGAAAAGACAAAGAAAAATTCCGCTCCGCGCGCAAAATTCCGCCTAGTGGAAATCGGCCTTTAGGGAGTTTACGATCTTGACGACGAACTGCCGACTACGTTTGAAATAGTTTTGTTATACAGGGTGTCCCCAAAAAAGTACCCTCTATAGAAATTATCCTATTGTTATTAAGCACAGGATTTCATGCGCCTGCAGGTAATTAAAAATTCAATTCAATTGTGTTTACGCACTCTTGTGTTCAGCATAGTGCTCAGGCATTTAAATTATAACAATAGGATAATTTCTATAGAGGGTACTTTTTTGGGGAGACCCTGTATGTATGCAAGTACTAAAAAATAAATAAACCAATCCCACAGGGCGATTAGTTATTAAATGTACCCAAACGGGAAGAGAGGTTTTGCAAAAGCCCCGAGGGAGTTTTACTAAATCTCTCGAGACTTGAGGGAATTTCATCACTAATCGACCGTAATGCCATGAAATCACTCTGTTGAAAGTTGAAATGAAAAGACGCGTTTGCTTTTTTATACTAATGACTATTGGGATGTTCGTTAATGAAGTTACAGTTGATTTTTCATGTCTGTTAAAATAGTTAATTGAACATCCATATAAGAGGTTATGCATAAAGATGAGGGACGATTAGTAACTAACGTAGGGACGATTAGTAAGTAATCGTACCGTGGGACGACACAAACCTCCCGCCGGTAAGGGCCCATTTTTATCATTTATAGACCCGTAGCGAGGGGCATTCGGCGTAATATTAGCGACCTTAAGGCCGTTTTCCACTAGGCGGAATTTTCCGCGCGGAGCGGAATTTTTCTTTGTCTTGTGATTTCTCGGGTGGAACTAATTAGAAAAGACAAAGAGAAATTCCGCTCTGCGCGGAAAATTCCGCCTAGTGGAAAACGGCCTTTAAGCAAACAGGACGGCAACGCGACGACGACGGCTATTCACACAGTGATATTCCTGATCTCGTATAAAAGGAATGAATAATTAAAAGCCCCACGGGAGTTAGAGACGTTGTGTTAGGGCTTTTTACAACGGCAAACCAGAGATTTTCACGTCTCGTGTACAACGCAAACATATCAAGACGCGACAAGTGAAACTACAAATTTGCTCAGCAGAAGCGTTTTTAATCACAAAGCCTTGGTTTTAATCTCTTCAAACTGAACTCAATTCATATATACATGCAGTGGATAATACACAACAACTCTTCTTCGCAATAATTTATTTGAAGAAGTTTGTTCTGGCTGCCGTCGTCGCGTTGCCGTCGTACATGCTTAAGGTCCCTATTTCCCGAAGTGATGATATTTTCGAGGGAAATATCGCCGAATACCCCGAGCGGAGTGTTTAAACTTTAAAACTTGTTGGATTTCAACGCGAATACAATTTTGTGTATACCTGAATTAGTTTGACGTTTCCTCTTTAAAATATTTGAGCATGTATCCTTTGGATCATTAAAGGTAACATACGTCTTGAACATCTTTCGTTAAATCAAATCTTCTGTACGAAATTACAAACAACAGCTTGCGAACGCCATATTGTTTCAGAACATGGTGTGGCACGCGTCACGCGTGAGCGTGGGATACTGTAATATCCCACGGTGGATCTGCCGTGGGATATTAGAGAGGTTAAGATACCCCGGTTCCGGTTTACGGGTACGGGTGATATTCACGTACCCGTAAATCGGGGAACGAGTTGTAACTTAAGAAATCCAAGACGATTCCGGCGTGTGAAAACCGATTAGAGAATGGTAACTTTCGCTGTTGAGGTTTGCCATAAATTGTTGAAAACTTTGACGAGCATATGTGCATTATTTATTTGGGTAAAATTTTGAAAATTTTTACTATTTAAACGGTCGCATATAGTAAACAGAAAACACCCGTACCCGTTTGTCTTTTACGTGTAGACCATGGTTTACCGCGGGGAAACGGGTAGAAATTACGGGTAAAAATGCTGACATCAGCAAAAATTGCTAAACAAAATGGCGATACCCGTACCCGTAAATCGCAACCGGAGTATCTTAACCTCTCTATTACAGTATCTCACGCTGAATTGCGAAATCATGAATTTAAGTGAAATACTGCAAAAAATGACATTATCAGGTGGTCCAAATGCTAGGTAATCACTAATCTCCCTTAAGCCATGCTATTAGTTTGTAGGTTGATAAGGGTTTCCAAGCGTATAATTTGTTTTATTAATTGTTAAAACTCCTCTGAGAACAATAATATATAAATATATAAACGCTATATATAAATATGAGGGAGTTGCATAGGTTAAGGTTTGAGTAGTGTTGTTTTAATTGTGATGAATAAAAGTGTTTTGTTGTTGTGTAGAGTGTCATTACTTGCATGTTTGACATTCATAACCGAGCGGGCGATTATAACTAGAGTCAGTCGAGGCTGCCTTAAGGGGCTGTTTATTTGGGCCAGCTGGCCCGGTTTAGGCAAGGTCCCGCCTTCGTTATCATTTCCAACTAAATTTCATTTTGCTTTTAGATGGGAACGAAGCTGCCGACCGCCTGAGCAAGATCCCGCCTCGACTGATCCGAGATCTCCAGTGACCAGGCTGGGTATTTCCCATAATAAACGCAAAGACCCGGGCTGGCTCGCTGGCTTGCTGTGTCCATGCAAATATGTTGTTGTAAATAAGAATTTGCGACCGATTTCGATCTCAAAACGTCTTTGTGAACGATTCTGTGGGTTATATCCGTGAGTTGCACGCAAAATTGCGAATTTCAGGTTCGTGGAAAATGGAATTTTCCTTCGGATGTGAACGTAGCATGTAATCGTTGATGCAAATCGCGACAGCGCATTTGCATGAGACTATAAATATGAGCAGTCTGCTCAGTAGGACATCACGGGAAGCACTACACTGGCAAAACACGTTGGTTTTCTCCTTGGCTGCGTTTGGAAAATGTCCGAAGAGAACTCTGTGCCAAACGATTCGCCTGTTCAACGATACCTAGATCAAAAGGTGGAGCATTTGTTCTCTGGGTTAAGTGTTGCATCTCACTCACAATCTCTAAAGTTAGAACGACAGGCCGAAGGCATACAGAAGTCTCATGAACTCGATTTTTATTCAACAACGAAGTTCAAGATCCTCCTATCTAATACTGCTTCTGCGTTGAGGAAAGACGATACAGCAACAGCATTAAAATCTATCGACAACGCCGGTACGCTTTTACGGCAGCGACAGAAGAAATTATATTGGCAGACAAGAGCGAGTCGGGCTGGTTGGCTGTGAAAGAGTATGAAGCAGACGGCCGCTCGCCAGCGATTCTGATTACGAAAAAAGGAGTCCGAAAAGCACAAGAGTCAATGCCATCACGACAGACAAAGCGAGATGACCTTCGACGCCATATTTTAATGATAGTTGTGGTTCTAATGACCAATTGTTTTTCGAAATAATTTATTCCCCTTCTTTGTTTTATCAAGGGGCAGGCAAGTGCTTGCACGTCGCCTGCCATCAATGTTTGTGTATAAGTGCTTAGTGGAAAGGAGAAGGAAAATGATTTTCCTTCGGATGAACGTAGTGAAGTAGAAGGAAATGGAATTTTCCTTCGGATGTGCACAGCAAAAAATCGTTTTCTTATTTCAAGAAAAAAAAAACTTGTTTCAAGAAATATTTTCTTAAAACAAGAATTTTTTTACTAGGGAGAATAGCGAGAAATATTTTCTAACTGAGAAAATATTTCTTAAAATGTTTCTTAAAATAAGAAAACACATTTTCTTGTTTTAAGAAAAATATATCTCATTTCAAGAGAATAATGAAACATTTTTCTAGTGCACTTTTTCTTAAAATAAGAAATTTTTTTAGAACTAGAAAATTTTTCTTAAATTAAGAAAACTTTTCTTAAATAATAAGAAATTAAATCTTAAATTAAGAAAATATAACTTATTTTAAGAAAATATTTCTCAAAACAAGAAAATTTTTACTAGGGAGAATAGCGAGAAAAAATTTCTAATTAAGAAAATATTTCTAGATGAATCATTTTCTTGTTTTAAGAAAATTTATCTTATTTTAAGATTAACTTTCTTAAAACTAGATACTTTTGACTAGATAAAAAAATAAGATAAATTTACACCTAACATTCTCAGTTTAAGAAAAAAACTCTCATTCTAAGAAAATAACTTGTATATTTACTGAAATTATAGTAGTTCTGATAGCACAGCAATGTGTTGTAGTGAATTGAGTTTCTCCCAGGGTTTTTTCCAGGATTTTCTCTTGGGTCCGTTTTTGCAGAGAAGATTGAGTTTAGCTGAACAGTTGGGGTGACTGCACCGGCCCCCCGCCTACCGGTGGGCTGACACCTGCACTCAATAAATGTAATTGAGACGGAATGTGTTAAAACAGGGACACTATAAACTGGTTAAAGATGGCTTGTCAGGCTTCCAACTGAAAACTAATTTCCACACGTCACAACATTTTATAACTCAAACAACTTCATTTTTACTGCACTGAAACTTTGGTGAGAAGATTGAGTTTCAAAACTCAATTCAAGATTGAGTTTTTGGGGCCGCTTAAAGGGCCCAAAAAATCCCTGAAAAAACCCTGGTTTCTCCTGAAGTCAATATATTTTGTTTAACATTTTGTCCATTTCACAATCAATATTATTTATACCATTGTTCATTCACCAAATCCATTGATTTCCTCATGCACATTTAATTAATACTGTTCCAAACACAGCATGCAATTGCCATCAAAGATCCATCATCTTAGAATCTGTAAAAAGAAAATTTTACTTATTGAGAATGTAATCATTACTTTATACAAAATATGCCAGAACAATGACCTTGAGACTTATCATTAACCTACAGTGTAAAAGGGACTAGTAACTGTGGATGTAATAAACAGCCTTTATTTAACCAATAACAAAGCCAGTTCATATTTGTATGTACAAGGTGATGCAGGGTATGACAAATATACATATGCTAACCAGAGACAGGCTTTCTCCAGACCTGTACCCAGTAGACCAGGGTTTTTTTCAGGGATTTTTTAGGGCCGTTAAACAGGCCCAAAAATTAAATCTTGAATTAAGTTTTGAAACTCAATCTTCTCACCAAAGTTTCAGTACAGTAAAAATGAAGATGTTTGAGTTATAAAATTTTGTGACGTGTGGAAATTAGTTTTCAGTTGGAAACCTGACAATTAAGAAAGAATGGCTGGAATTCATCTTGCAACACAAGAAAAACTATGCATTCGCCATCTTTAACCAGTTTATACCAGTTTCCATCTCAGTTCTACATTTATTGAGCATAGGTGTCAGCCTCCCGCGGTAGGGGGGGGGGGGTGCAGCCACCCCAGCTGTTCAGCTAAACTCAATCTTCTCTGCAAAAATGGACCCAAGAGAAAATCCTGAAAAAAACCCTGTCTGTAGACTACTATCTGGTGCCATTAGGTATCTGGGCACCACCCGCTACCATCTGGTATTAGGCAAACCACCATCTGGCGCAACTTCTTCTGGCAAAGACCTTGGACGCATGTTATTTTAAAAAGTAATAACCAATAATCACTATTAATCAGCCATCTTAGTTTCACCAGACACTAAAATTTTGTTGCATCATACTTTATTATAATTTTTATTCTGTCTAACACCAGATAACTTTACTTGTCAAGGGGAAAGCAGTCGTGCTCAATGGCTTAATCAGACTATCTGCCCATGTGTCAAATTAACCATTTAGTTGCATTGTGCACTACTGTCTAATAATTATTAGTTAGCCAAGTAGATTATGTCAATTAATTTATGATCTGTCATGCGACAGTTCCAGTTTAAAGGGGAATATATCTTGTGGACTAAATATGATACTCAACTGACTGTCTTCTCTTAAATAACTTTAATTCATTATACGGTTAGCATCACTAGCGCAGTAACATTACATTAACCCTTTAAGTGCCAATGCACCAAGATGCGCCCTAGGGGTGCACCGGAACCAGTTTTTAAGTTCCGGCCGGAACCGGATCCGACGGGAACTGGAAAAAGTTCCGGCCGGAACCGGTGTCCCAGGATTTTCGCCCCCCCCCTACATTTTCGCCCCCCGGGGGGCGAAATTCCTAGGAATATCGCCCCCCCAGGGGGGCGAAAATCCTAGGAATTTCGCCCCCCTTTAGGAAATTCGCCCCCCTTCAGAAACTTCACCTTTTCTTTAGGATTTTCGTCCCTCCGTTCAAAGTTTCGCCCTTCCTAATAGTTGCATCGGATAATTATTACATGGCTTTAATCATTTGAAATCAGTATCAATTCAAAATTGTTAAGGCAGAGCTTGAAATAACAACCGATCACCGATCAATGATCGGCAAGGAATTGCTTATAATCGGCGGAAAAGCAGGGTTTCGGTTTCCAACCTGAAAAAAGCAGGGAAAGTTATGACTGCCGATCACCATGATCGGGAACTTTGGGAACGTTATTTCAAGCCCTTACAATTACATGTATCGAAAGGGCTTACACAGTTACAGTAGATCAATAGAACTTATGACGCTTCACAGCACACCATGCGTATTTTGCATTTTCACTGTTAATCCTTAAACTCATTGTTAAAAAGTAATCACCGTGGTGGTTATTGTAATTATTGGTATTGATTTGCATCCACGTTTTGTCGTTATTGGAAAATGTGTGGCTTATAAGTTGTCACTATTTTTTACTTGCATTATTTCAATATAGTTTGTAAATCTCAGAAGCGAAGGGTAGAACTTGTCAATAGGCAATACTCCAATAATATACGTTTCAAAGTTTTAGTTTTGCAGAGTTACATTCTTAAATGTTTGAGGCACTAATAAAATCAAAGTATCATGAAATTATTTGAATAAGTCACACCACATATATAATGCAATTATTTTCTTCGCGGAAGTCAAGAATCAAGATTACATCACTAACACTGTCACTGACATGGAAAGTTGATGATTCTACGGACAATGATCAATACACTTCCCAACACATTCCATAGATTTTTTATTAATCCTATAGTTTATTGTTAGCAAGTGATTACTGTGGCGGCTATTGTTAACACTGGTATTGATAAAATTTGCAAGCGATTGTTTTTCATAATACGTTATGTGAATGTAAACTGTCAAAAGAATACGACAACATGATTTTATGCGATCTCTGTGGGCAATGGTTCCACTTTAAATGTGTAGAACATGACACCAGTGCTAAGAAGCCTAAAATGTATATGTAAGTTTGTCTCCTTGTAATATATAAATAACGCAATAAATCTTTTCAACTTGCAATCGTTTTGTTTTTAGATCAAAAATTCAAAATTTATAGGGGGGGCGAAATTCCTAAAGGGGGGCGATATTCCTAGGAGATTCGCCCCCCTGGGGGGCGATATTCCTAGGAGATTCGCCCCGGGGGGGGGGCGAATATCCTAGGAATATCGCCCCCCTTTTGAGAGGGGGGCGAATCTCCTGGGGGGCGAATCTCCTGTGACACCGGAACTAATTTATTGTCCGCTGCCAGACAGGCAGACACTTCAAGTCATAAAGGAGAGAGCTCGCAAATGTTAGAATAAAAAGATTCACAAGCGTTAAACGTCATAATGAAGTGTTAGTAGTGTACATTTCCCTTGCGTAGTCCAAATTTCTTCCTACTGTGACCTTTTGTTAGACACAAAAACGTTTGATATTCTATCTCTCTGAAAACGACAGAGTTCCGGGTCCGGCCATGCTTTTTTTACTAGTTCCGGCCGGAACCGGAACTCTAAAAAATCGGGGTTCCGGCCGGAACTAACCCCTAATGCGCCCTACTTTATTATTTTACTTTGTCTATGCCAGACGATTTAACTCGTCAGGGACTCAGGGGAAGAGTGCTGCCACTAATTGGGTTAATACATCAGGACCCTGGACATGTACAATTGTTTGGTATTGAAATAGCAAGATTAATCTAGTAGGGCGTAAAAGAATACCTGTGGTTCCAGTTTCAGATCGCAAAAAAATTTGGGTTGGTAGGTCGGAAATAATTTTTTAAAAATATTTTTTCATGGATTTTTCAATAATTAGTGTGACAACAGTGTCATTTGGCAGCAGCCCGCAACCATCCGGAGAAAATAGGGTCGCATAGTCAATCACTTTTAAAAAAATTGGGTCGATCGGGAACCGGAATCACAGGTATTTTTTTGCGCCTAGTATGGCACAGATAAAATTGGTACCTGTATCAAATTTATCCATGCTCAGCCTGTGTGAATAGGAGTAGTCGAAGCATGACCTTACAATGGGCTACATTGGGGGTAGATTTAGGATTCACATGTAATTGTGTTGCTAATATTTACTAAATTTTTGATGCAGTATCAAGAAATGTAATAATTCCTACAAACAAGGTCCTTACATGGACTGTTTACAAGATCAAGGCTAACTCGTCTGGCTGGACAGACTTGCAAGTGCCGAAATGGTCTTGTACAATCACCTGGAGAAAATAGGGTCACACAGTCAATTGCATTGAAAAAATAATAAGGTCGGCACAAAAAATAGGGTCGGTCGGGAACCGAAACCACAGATTTTTTTTTACGCCTTAAAACAAATATCGCTTTCCCACCATATATAAAATTGTTTGGGAATTTCTTATAGCAGTTTCCAGGCTAGCCCGCCTCATGTGAAACAAATAAAAACTTGGCCCGGCCAAGTAAGCTAACTCAGTTCAACAGGCCAGCATGGCTCATATTGAACAGGTCCTGGGTGACTAACTTAGCTGGGCCAGTTTGTCATTTTCTTCATGTAGAGCACTAAAAGCAGACTATTTATTCTTGTTAATTCTTACCTTACAACACCAGTTTGTCAATTCAACTCAATCCAGAATTCCTTGATTGTTGAGAACAATATTTGGAGCCAGGCTATAGCCCAGCACCATTATTAACCTGAAAATACATAAAGCAAACATTTCAGGCATTGTGTCACAAACATGTTACACATTATAAACTGAAGTTCAAGACTCTCCGGCCCCTTGAAGAGTGAAATTGTCTGGCACTAGGCAAAGTAAAGCAACAGCAGGGATGCATTTGGGCACATTTGTAAGCCTTAATGGGTTATTAAGATCAAAACACTGAAATATTACATTCAAATTACATTCAATGCTTTATAAATTCTTCTGTAATTCTAATCCTTATTCATGTATTAAAATGCTAACATATCTTTGAAGGCATTCGAATGTTTACAGTAATATATACAAGGCCAAGGGTCAAGTTGAGTGCATATAATTTATATGTCAAACAGCCAAAGGCAATATTTATTGCTATTAAATTGTTAACAATAGTGCATTAGGCCCGGTTTAGACGGCGAACTTCTCATGCGCCGAATCTAATTGTCGTAGATACGGCAAAATATCGGAAACTGATTTAGACGTCGAACTTAATTGCACCGTACCAAATTGCGAAGACATTATATTGGAAATATTTAAATATATGATAATCATATTATGATGTTAAAAAATAATTATGCATTAGGTTCGGCGCATGAAAAGCACGGCGTCTAAATCAATGTCGAATCTGTGTCGCATATACGACTTGTCCTGTCGCATCTTCGAGTCGTGTCGAACTTAATCAAAACCTGCCGAACTTAATTGATTTAGACGCCGCTCCAACGTCGCACTTAATCCTTGCATTAGATTCGGCGCATGAAAAGTTCGCCGTCTAAACCGGGCCTTAGTGCGTAATTTAGTACAGAATTTGCTATAATGGATTCGAATTGATATTTTATTTGCCAGAAACCAACATTTCGTAGGCTTTTTATGCAAATTGAACGCGGCAAATTCAAACATTCAACGGAATTTTAGGCAAATGACTCAAGAACAATCACACATTCTTTCGCAATTAAAGTGCTTAAATAACAAGTCAAAATAAAATATTCTTACCTGTGAGATCTGAATAACATTTTAAGACCTTTCCGATGCCTTTTCCGTCGTTTGGGATGGCAAAAATTTGATAAATATACTGTAAATATGAACTGGAATTCAGTTAGCACTTTATAGCACAAAAAAATTTGAAACGACGCTATCCCATGAACCTTCGCGCTCTGATACGTAAACTAGGCACCAGGCCCCCAGGCAATGCGCGAACTATTGCTGCTTGCATGTCTGCATTTTCAATCAGTTATTGACTGTTAATTTTATCTATAATAAATTATCGAAAAGTGAAGAAAATTTTCTGTAATTATTAAATAAAACACGAGAAAAATTCAAACTTTAGAATGTAAATTAGAATGTATAGTATGGTATCAGGGGGCGACGGAATGTAGGTGAAAGATATCTTCTTTCCTGCAGGAGGGGGGCAAATGTAGCATTTTAATAAAAATAAAACACAATATTTTTCGCAAATTTACCTCAGGGATGGATCCAGCATGATCTAGGAGAACGGTTGGGGGGCACCTCAAAATCAACTTTCTTTTTCAGACATTTTTCGACCTCAATGTTCCAGAATATTCCGTAATATTTAACAAGTTCCACAATTCCAGCATTCCGGGGCCCCCGAGATGGGGAAATTGGGACCCCTTTCTTGACTTTTCTTTACACCCCCACACCTCCCCTCCCCCCAGTAAATCCATCCTAGATTTAACAAATTAATTAACAAAGATACTACGATAGAGGAGAATTCTTATGTTTAATTAATCTTGTGCACAGCCGCAATTAATTCCGAGTTGCGAATTCTCTCCTGAGCATGCAAAAATGCAGGGACCGCGGAACAGGGGGAGGCGTGGGCCATGGCCGTATACACACACACACTTCAAAACAGGCTCCGCGCTCCCTGTGGAACGTGGTTGGGTCCCTGTAATACATATGCAGATTATTCTAGAAATAAGGGTTATACAATTAAAATGAATCTATATACAAAATATGTTATATATGTCTTTAAACACCAGAATTGAATGCCATTCTATAGTTCCTGTAGTTAAATTTTAACAAATTTTAAATTTTCTTTCCGTTCAAGAACATTTAAGAAATAATTTCTTATGTTAAGAATTTGATTTCTTGTTTTAAGAAACTATTTCTTAAAACAAGAAAATCATATTTTCTTTAAGAAAATTATTGATAAGAAGATGAAAAAATCGTAAGAAAACATATTCTTGTTTTAAGAAAACAAATATAATTCTTATGATAAGAATTTGATTTCTTGTTTTAAGAAAGTATTTCTTAAAACATGAAAATCATATTTTCTTAAGAAAATGATTGATATGAAGTTGAAAAAATCGTAGGAGAATACATTCTTGGTTTAAGAAAACAAATATAATCCAAGATATGTTAATTTTTTTTTTCTTATTTCAAGAAAAAATATCTTGCCAATGAAATATTTCTTATTTTAACAATCTTTTTCTTATTAAGAAAATCCGTTTCTCGTTTTAAGAAATAATTTCTTAAATTAAGAATTTTTTTCTTAAAAAGAAAATGATTTTTTGCTGTGTGAACGTAGGTAGGTAGGTACTGTAGGTAGGTAGGTAGGTAGGTAGGTAGGTAGGTAATACTAATAACGTAGCATGTAATTGCATGTTGATGCAAATCGCGACAGCGCATTTGCATGAGACTATACTATGAGCAGTCTGCTCAGTAGGACATCACGTGAAGCACTCTACACTGGCAAAACACGTTGGTTTTGCATTTATAAATATATATTATCAAGTCTATAACAAATTGCAGTTTTCGTTTCTTGTTTCGTTCCATTTCAAATTGTTTTTCTTTAATTAATAGGCCGTCGAATCCCCAGTTCAACCGACATGTGCTTTCGGACACTGGCAAAACACGTTGGTTTTACATCTATCAATTGATATATTTTCAAGTCTATTATAAATTTGTAGTTTTCGTTTCTTGTTTCGTACCACTTTGTTTAATAGGCCGTCATATCCCTAGTTTAACAGACATGTGCTTTCGGTGTGGTAAAAGAAGCCACTGGAGCTCAAGCTGCCCAAAATTTTGCCTCGACACGACGCAGTCGGTTTGAACCAAGATATTTTCCAAGATCCACAGCCCCGAGCAGCTGAGAGGAGAGAGTAAACGTTAGCCGATAATCCATTGCAAGATGTTTATGAAGACATAACTCAGGTACAACTTTCCTCTAATACCTGTGAATATAAGCAGCTATCTAGCAATACCCCGGTTTCGTTTCTAAAAGTAAAAGGGAGGCTTAGAGCTCATATCCCATTTTGGAAGTATATAGAAGCGTCAGATTTCATCCAGGAAGGATACCTTTCCGCGAATCTCCCAATCCAGTTATTTTTCAAATAACTCGTCTGCTTTTGATAATTGCCAGTTTGTGTTTGATTCTATCACTCAATTACTAATCACTGAAAAAATTGATCCGGTGAAAGAACATGACTAAATATCTTGTAGCCCACTTTCCGTGGCTACTCAGCCCGGTGGCAAACGGCGCTGATCTTCGATTTGAAATTTTATATCTAATCAACAACAGCATTCCAGTTTGGTATATTAAGATACATACATAAAAAATCGACCACTACATAACAAATTTACTAATAACCTAATTTAAACTTTCAAAAACAGCCAAAATGTATTTGGCAACTAAGTTCATCATTGTCTTATCTTGCATAGCCATAATATATCTAAAAATATCTTTGTTGAGTGAACAAAGAGAAAGAACGATTTATTTTACATACATTATTTATAAAAATATTTTCAAGAAAATAATATTTATTAAATAATAGATAATATCTCTATTTCTAAGATTTGCGATTTGAGCAATCATGTCTATAAACAAACCAAAAAAATTTGATGATTGGCGTGCAGCTTTGCAGTGTTTCGACAGTGGGTCGTTTTTCACAAAATTTGACTTGAAATCTGGGTTTCATTACTTGGATCTCTTCTGAACATCAGCATATTTGGGCTTTATTTGGAAAAACAATGACGCGACGCCAAGTTATTGTATGTTCCTTGCCCTGCCAATTTGGCTGACAACAGCTCCCTATATAACCACAAAACTGTTACGGCCTATAGTTAAACATGCATTAGCGCTCTCAGGAGACTCAGGAGATAAAAATTGGGATTTATTTAGACGATGGGTTTGACATCCACAGAGACATACATACATACATACATACATACATACATACATACATACATACATACATACATACATACATACATACATACATACATACATACATACATACAT